AGTGTGGCGGTAGCCAGGAGGCGGCGGCGGCAGGCAGGCAGGCGGGGGAATGCGGCGGCATGCGGGTGGGAAGCGGCGACTGCAGGCGGGTGGGAGAAGACGACTGAGGGCGGCAGGCAACAGAGACTTGCCTATAACATATTACATGAATGATGTAATTTAAATTAGGTTGAATTCTTAATTCAGTCAAAATGAACTACAATATAAACTTCAAATTCATTAAAAATTTACATTATATTATAAATTTTCATACCAAACATAGAATTTTCTCAAATTTGAAAAAAAAATTACAGTACACCACTAATTCACTCAAGCAAACGGCCCCTAAATATATAGGGTTTCCAAAATTTAAACATTTGGTTAGATGAAAACGAAATGTTTGTAAATTTTTTTGTAAATTTAGATTCCAAATTTGTTATATTTTGGCGATTTTCACAAACATTGAAATCTACAATCAACTACCGTTGTCTCTGTTTACCGTCTGCCATTGCCACCACCATTCCCCACAGGGCATCACTGCCACTGTCGCCACCGGTACCAAACAACACCTAATAAATAATTTCATTCGCATTTTTAATGACTTCCATCACAAATTTGTAAATTGTCATTACTTTTGAGAGTTCATTTGATTGCTCAAACAAAAAATGGCAAATATATTTTAAAATTTTTAAAAGCTTATAAATCACCAAAGACTGAACTTGTCTTGATGTCCACATTATGTGCCTCAACTCTATTTCCACCCTTAAAACTCGCTTAATCTTTATTTGTAAGTTTAAGGTGTTTTGAAAAAATGTACAGCTCCCTTTCCATCCCCTCCTTTTGAGCAAAAGCTTATGGCTCTATTTGGGCTAATCATAATATCAAGATTTCACTTTAATGGAAAGAGCTTAAGAGCAAAATCCATTTTTTAAGCCCAAACTCTTTATAGCATTGGAGATAGTTTGGTTTTTTCACTCTTTCATGACCTTTATGTAGAGATTTTGACAAATAGGTTTTTTTATTATTATTTTAACCTACCAAAAATGCATGTATTGCCCTTATGATGATTGATGATGTTTGGGTCCCTTCACATACTCTCTTTATGCCAAATTCAATTTTGCTTCAATGAATTTTAAGCACAATTGTTGAAGGTGGAAAGGATATAGATTGATGGAATGGAGAAAGGATCTACTGTAATAATTTGTGAAGGATGCCATTTTCAAAAGTTTTGAGAACTTACATTAGTTTGAAGATGTTTGGTTCAAAGGGAAATTTATAAAACTAACTAGTTTGTTAAGATGGCTTTCTTGTTTGGGCTTAAATAGCTAATAGATTGGAACATCATGGTTTGATTGTCCATAACTATTGTAAGCTATGCAATACATCCATGCAATAGCATGCTCAAATCATTTTTGGGTGGGGCCCATTTATAATATGACTAATTCAAAATTTGCTACTCGTTAAAAGATTCCCCGCTCTTCAACCCAACTTACAATAAATCCTAAATGATCACAATAAAAAGATTGTTACACCGATGTCTAGCCTAAGGGCAATTTAGTCTTTTGTACGCCTAAGAGCAATTTAGTCGTTTATTATTATTGTTGTTGGGTATAAATAAAACTATTATGTTTAGGGTTAGGTTTGTGCGTGAGATTGAGTCTTGTATCTTAGGCTTAAGGTTTGGGAGAGACTTCCTACCACTCGAATTGTAAGTGCATATTTTTTTTTCTATTTATGTGTGTTATTAGTGATGTATTGTTTTGAAATGCTGCTTGAGAAATAAAATTTATGTTTGCCCTAAATCCTATAGAAAAGCATGTTGATATTGTAGTCAGATCGCATCAAAAACTATATTTGCTCATCACATTTATTTTAGTTTATAACATATGGTGATAGAAATATATTGCTCTTCAATGAAAAATTTTATCCTATACGGGGAATTCAAGTTAAACTTTGTAAATGAATTTAAAATCGAAATGGTCAAACAAGACATTTGAATGTCACAAATCATGCAAAGCATCATGTATATAATTAAATCAACGGCTCTAAATCCACTAATTATAAAGAGAGAGAAAAAAAAAATGAAATTATGCTAAATATACTAGTGATTGAACCTATTTCTATTCCATAAACACAAATCCATAGATGAAGACTTGGGCTCTATTTTTATCATAATTGGTGAATCTCTTTATATTTCAACAACACATTTCTCTCTCTCTTTCTCATAAGGACCACCCAATTCTTATGTATTTACATATCTAAGACCAAAATTTTATTTTTACTTGTGTACCTCCCAAATCATCAATATCACAACAAAAGTATCACTATTTTAAATTTTAAAAAGTGAAATACATATATTCATGTTGAGAAATTAGGGCAAAGAAAAACATGAATTGACACAAATCCAGAAGAACACACTGAGATTTACGAGGTTCGGCAAAGATGTCTACATCCTCGGGAGCAGAGCGGCGACTTCTTTTTCAATATTCAGAAAAGAGTACATAATACATCTCATAGGCTCACCTAGGGTTACAAACATGATATATATATAACCATATAGTACAATATGTAATTACTTAAATTACATCTGTACCAAACCGCAGACAGTTTCCCTCTCACCCCGAACCTACATAATGAAACTCACCCGATTTGACAGAACCTTCCGCTCCACTCCGCTCTTTTTCGCTCCACTCCACTCATGGGCTCCGCTCCACTCCAGCATCTGTCCCATTTATGGTATATGAGTCATACCTAACAAATCTCTACCCTAGCGAATATCCAGCCCCTTAGAAGAAATACATATACCCAACAAATCTTCACCTTGGCGAATATACAACCCCTTAGGAGAAATACAAATGCCTAAATAATCTCCACCTTGCAGAATATTCAGCCCCTTAAGAGAAATATATATGCCTAACAAATCTCCACCTTGGCGAATATCCAGCCCCTTGGGAGAAAATACATCATGAAGTTTCTTATGCACCAATGTGGGTTGGGTCATAAATCTTTTTAAATAATCCATTAATTAAGATAACATTAATTTTCCCAGAAAAGCAACAGAATCTTTTCGAAAAAGGATTGAAATATTCCCTTAATTAAATTTCTTTAATTAAGTATTTTCCTTAATTAAGTTTCCCAGAAACAGAAATTTCTCTTAATTAAATTTTCCTTAATTAAACTTTCTCAGAAGTCCTTTTCCTTAAACTTCCAAGAAAAGCTCTTATTTCCTTCTCGAAAAGCTCCGCCTCCGCTTTCCAGAGAAGCTCATTTTTCCTTCCAGAAAAACTCTGTTTTCCTTCTTAGAAAAAGCTGTCTCCGCTTTACTTCCAATTATGTTGCTCTATCGCTCCCTCTGTCGCTCGAACACCTCTGCCTTTCGCAGAAATTGCAAAAATCCTCCTTTACAAAGCTGCTTCGCCCACACACAATCTGTTTCGCGATTTGCTTCGCCCGATCGCTGTCTGGTTACGAACTGCCGAGAACCGCAGCCAAATTTTCTTCTCTTATGCCGAAATTTTTCTTCCTTGCCCTCAAATCACTCTGATACCACTTGTTGAGAAATTAGGACGAACAAAAACAGAAATCAACACAAATCCATAAGAACACACAGAGATTTACGAGGTTCAACAAAGATGCCTACATCCCCGGGAGCAGAGCGGCGACTTCTTTTTCAATATTCAGAAAAGAGTACAAAATACAAGATTCAGAATCCCATAATCTCATAGGCTCACCTAGGGTTACAAACAAGACATATATATAACACTATAGTGCAATATGTAATTACTTAAATTACTTGTGTACCAAAATGCGGGGGTGTTGCCCCCGCACCCCTAACCCACATAATGAAATTGGTGAATCTCTTTATATTTCAACACACATTTATCTCTCTCTTTGTCATAAGGTTGGCCAACCAATTCTTATGTATTTACATATCTAAGACCAAAAATTTATTTTTTACTTACATACCTCCCAAATCATCAATATCACAACAAAAGTATCACTATTTTTAATTTTAAAAAGTGAAATACACATATTCATGTTGAGAAATTAGGGCAAAGAAAAACAGGAATTGACACAAATCCAGAAGAACACACTGAGATTTACGAGGTTCTACAAAGATGCCTACATCCTCGGGAGCAGAGCGACGACTTCTTTTTCAATATTCAGAAAAGAGTACATAATACAATATTCATAATCCCAGAATCTCAGAGGCTCACTTAGGGTTACAAACATGACATATATATAACACTATAGTACAATATGTAATTACTTAAATTACCTTTGTACTAAACCGCGAGGCGTTGCCCCCGCACCCCCAACCCACATAATGACTCCCCCGATTGAACAGATCCTTTCGCTCCACTCCGCTCATGGGCTCTGCTCCACTCCAGCATCTATCCCATTTATGGTATATGAGTCATACCTAACAAATCTCTACCCGACAAATATCCAGCCTCATAGGAGAAATACATATACCCAACAAATCTTCACATTGGCGAATATCCAGCCCCTTAGGAGAAATACATATGCTTAAATAATCTCCACATGCAGAATATTCAGCCCCTTAGGAGAAATACATATGCCTAACAAATCTCTACCTTGGCGAATATCCAGCTCCTTAAGAGAAAATAGGTCACAAATCTTTTTAAATAATCCCTTAATTAAGATTACCTTAATTTTCCCAGAAAAGCAAAAGAATCTTTTCGAAAAAGGATTGAAATATTCTCTTAATTAAGTTTCTTTAATTAAGTATTTTCATTAATTAAGTTTCCCAGAAACAGAAATTTCTCTTAATTAAATTTTCCTTAATTAAACTTTCCCAGAAATCCTTTTCCTTAAACGTCCAAGAAAAGCTCCTATTTCCTTCCCGAAAAGCTCCGCCTCCGCTTTCCAGAGAAGCTCATTTTTACTTCCAGAAAAACTCATTTTTCCTTCTCAGAAAAAGCTCAGTCTCTGCTTTCCTTCCAATTATGTTGCTTCGTCGCTCCCTCTGCCACTCGAACACCTCTGCCTTTTGCAGAAATTGTGAAATCCTCCTTTACAAAGCTGCTTCGCCTGCACACGATCTGTTTCGTGATTTGCTTCGCTAGATCGTTGCCTGGTTGCGAACTGTCGAGAACCGCCGCCAAATTTTCTTCTCTTGTGCCGAAATTTTTCTTCCCTGCCCTCGTATCAGACTCTGATACCACTTGTTAAGAAATTACGACGAACAAAAACAGAAATCAACATAAATCCATAAGAACACACAGAGATTTACGAGGTTCGGCAAAGGTGTCTACATCCCCTGGAGCAGAGCGACGACTTCTTTTTCAATATTCAGAAAATAGTACAGAATACAAGATTCAGAATCTCATAATCTCATAGGCTCACCTAGGGTTACAAACATGACACATATATAACCCTATAGTAAAAATATGTAATTACTTAAATTACTCATGTACCAAACTGCGGGGTGTTGCCCCCGCACCCCTAACCCACATAATGAAACTCCCCCGATTGGACAGATCTTTTCGTTCCACTCCGCTCGTTGGCTCCGCTCCGCTCCAGCATCTGTCCCATTTATGATATATGAGTCATACCTAACAATTCATGCATAGATAAGGTATCATATATGTAAAAATAAAAATTTGTGTTGGACAGGTAAATACATAAGAATTGTGTGGAATGCATGTAAATTTTCCAAAAAAAAAAACCAAACAATGCAGATTTTAAGAAATGGAAACTTTGGCTCCTCGTGCAACCAATAATACAAATATCTTATCATACTCGACCATCAAAAACGCCATTTTTATCACAAAATACTCCGCATAACATAGTTGGGCTAATTTAATCTTTTATAAAATGAACCTTCAAATCTCCATGATGCATCTCTTATTGCATAATACTACTGATATATTTTTCCACATTATTTACTCCAACATAACATGAGAAATTTTATCTTTATTGATATCCACGAACTTCTATACGACAAATCAATTCATCAACTCTGAAGAATAACTTAATTAAGCATAATAGAAAGAAGTGAAACTCATGTGACTCAATGAAGATTATGAAAGTTATTCAATCTATCTATTTGTTAGCAAATGAGTTATTTTAAGGTTGCTCAATTGAAGCATACAGCATACTTTGTTGTGTAAATCAAATTCCGACAAAATATACTAAATTTAACCGGTCACTTATTTAACTAACTCACTTTGTTGTGTAAATCAAATTCCCACAAAATATACTAAATTTAACCGGTCACTTATTTAAAAGGCTAAACCAAGTTCCTACAAAGTATATGTGGTTACATTGACCACATATAGTTTGCAATGTGGCTGCTAGCAGCCATTTTGCAGCACAACAAATATTAGAAAAAAAATAAACTTTATCTCCATACTAGACAATAACGAGATGAGGAGCTTTATAAGCAATCACCTTTCTCCCTAGAAAAAATATCAGTCTTTCAATCACTAAAGTTTCGTAGGGTTTGTTTGGGGGCAACTGTAGTTGTTTGAAGTAGTAGTTGTGACGTTGCCACAGAAAAAAAATACTGTTCAAAAAATGCAAGAGCAATGCAATTGCTCTTGCATTTTTTTTTTTCCAAAAAGTCATATCACCGGCAACAACTACACTTAGCTTACTGTTCAAAAAATGCAATTGCTATTACATTTTTTTTTTCAAAAAGTCATATCACCGGCAACAACTACACTTAGCTTGGTCAGGTTGCAAAACGCCTTGGTCAGGTTGCAGAACGCAGCTTCCTACCATAACTTTTTGTTTTGCCAAACGTCATGAAATAAGATGCAGCACCCCACAGCTGGCCCAAACACAGCCTAAGTCTGACAGAATAGAAAAGAATTCATAATAAAGATTCTACCCCTCAACAACTAGAACTCTAATTATCACTTTTGCAGAATGATGATTTTCATCCTACTCTTGTCTCTAAGAAATTGTTTGGGTTGACTTTTGTGTCATGTCATTTATTTTTTATTTCAATTTTATTTTAGGTGTGGTTAGATTTGAAATAAAACATATTTGATATGTTAAAAACATGATTTTAATTTTATTGAACATTGAATAAATTAATTTTTGTGGTGATGGCAACAGTCATGGGCAAAACATTCAAACCCGCTAAAAGTTGTTTTGAATATTTTAAAAAGATTCATTTATTTCTAAAAATGAAAAATAAAAACAAGTGAAAAATGCACTAAACAAGCATGCTTAAAAAGAAAAAATAAAAAAGGATCCCAAATGGAACCTGAGTATCTAAGTTTTGCCCTCTCTTTCTACAAACTCATACAAACTTATTTCTTCACCCATAATAATAATATATAAGTTATGTTCTTCACCACACTCTTGGCTTGATAAAGTCTCAAGTATTTAGAGATAATAATACTTAAGCCTTGTGCTTAAAAATCCACTAAAAATCAACAAAAAGTTAACAAGCAACAAAAGAAAACTGGCACAAAGAGCTTCCAATGCAAGTGGGGTAATTGAAGGAATCCGGATTCTTTCCAATTAACAGGGCAACATATCTCAGCCATCCAATTTAGATTTGGATGGTTTGGATTAACACCACCAAACATGATCAAAATAGCTTTGGTATTGAGGTTAATCCCAAACATTCAATCTGGAATGGATGGCTGAGATGGAAAAAAAATGTAGGCTGCACCGCTTAATTGGGCATCAATAAAACCAGCTAACAACCTCTGCAGCTTTGAGGTTGATATCAGGAAAATGAAGAACAGACAATTACAAGTTATCAGAAACATTTTACTAAGTCAGGCTTTCAACAGATTTTCCTTTTATTTCTGGAATAAATCAAATGATATGTTCATAACAAAAAATAACATATTTTGGAGACCTTTTTGAGGGACAATCATTCAAAACTAAACTACCGCATATAAATTTTGTTGAATTTCTGAAATAAATTACAAGTTATTTCCCTAGCCAGTAAAAGGACAAGGAAACCAATTACCATGAATAATTAAACACTTAAAATTTCCAAAACTGAAACCTCTTATCAAACAAATTGGTATATTTTAAAAACTCAAACTTCACAAACCTCAATGAATCAGTGTGAACTTAAAAAGCTTAGCTTTTAGTACCTTCCTGCATCTCTGTATCATTTGAGTTCCTTCCTTGCACCAGTCTTCCATAACAGCAGCTACAAATACTTACTGTAGCTTGCCATGATCAAAAGAGAGAGAGTTCCTGGCAGCATAGCGAGCAATGGATCTCTGCACACAATTCCATCTTTTCCATCCAATTTTCGTTCCTTCAGATTAAGAATTTTTAAGAGTTCAGGAATCCAGTTTGAGCTGTATATCTACTCACAAAAACAATCATCATCCATCCTCACTCAATGAACTGACTCTCCACCCCAGAATCTGATCCACTGCCCTCTTCATCGCCACCATATATAGCATCATCATCCCCAAAGAACTCCTTTCTATTCAATGCCGGCACACACTGAGGCCCGTCACCTTGCCTCCCAAGGCTCGTCAGCATTCTATCAAAATTGGCCTTTTTGGAGCTGATCAGCAGCAGCTCCCTGAGCCTTTTCCGAGCCAAATACACGTCATTTTGCTCCAAAATCTCACCTTTTCTATAACCCTCTCTAAGAAACACTGTGTGCAACTTCCCCTGATTCCCTCTGGTCGAAATGTAGAAAATTCCCTGATGCTGAAGAAGAAACTCCTTTAACTTCTTCGGCAATCCCATGGCCTGTCTGAAATTTGCTATCCTCTCAAGCGTCGTCCTTTTCTCCACGGTCAGCGATAGAAACTCATGGATGGTGGCGACCGCACGCTTCTCCATTCTCCTCTGGGCTTCCAATGATCTAAGATCGTAGCCTGATACATCCTCGTAAGGAGACCAGTAAGGCAATCGCTGCCACTTCCAGACAGCAACGCGGTAATATTTCCCGATTTTGAAGCCCGGAGGGAACTGAATGGGGAAGGCGAAGCGAGCATCTTCCGCATCGGAGCCCCGTTCCCGGTACTCCCGCTCGCGCGCGAGCTCCACGGCGGCGATGGGGAATGGTTCGTCGGGATTAAGGACCGCTTCGACGAACTTGAGGCGGGGTTCAGCATCGGGGCCGGAAGGGGAAAGGAGGCGGAAGAGAGATGGGTGGGAAAGCACGATGGATTGCTCGAAGTCCTCCGGAAGGCCGAGATCGGTGCGTGCGAGGCGGATGTGTTCGAGCCTGATGCGGAAGGAAGGTGCCGCGAGGAGAACAAAGCGGCGAAGACGGAGAGCGGCGGAGGGGAGGGAGGAGGAGAGGGCTTCGGATTCGAGGCGGAGTTGATGAAGGGCGCGAGGGGTGAGACGAGCGTGGAGGACGCGCTGGACGGGGTGTTCGAAGACGTGGAAGACGTGAGGGTGGCGGAGGAGGAAGGAGGAGGATTCCTGGGGAGAGAAGCGGAGGTGGCGGCGAGCGAGGGATTCGAGAAGGGATACAGGGAGAGTGCCGCCGGGGTGGGAGAGGATGAGGTCCTGGAGCTTGAGTGCGCGCCGGACCTTCTTTTCGACTTCCATTAGGTTGTCGAAGGAGTGGTCGCGGACGCGTTGGAGCTTCTTGGGTATGGATGTGGACTGCGATTGATAGCGAACGATGGAGAGGGAGAAGGAGAACAAAAGGCGCGCTCGGCTAATTGAGAAAGGCGACATTTTTAGTGTTTAGGGTTTTAGTGGGTCGGATGGGAGAGAACGAGGAGCCGGGGATCGGATCGGTGGCCGGCGGGAACGGGGAAGACAGGCGGCGCTAGCGGGGTGTGGCCTCGGTGGAAAAATGGGTGTACGGAGAAATAATAATGCTATTTACATGCATGCCATCAATTTCTTATATATTTAGCTTAAGCTACTTCTTATATTTATATTAACCAATTTTTTTATACCACATTAAATGCACCACTATTTTAATTGTTAAAATAGAATGAATCCATCTTTATTAAAATTATGACCATGTCAACATTCTTACTTAATTTTGGTATCAATTTTTTATGTCACAATTGTAGAGAACTTACTTGCATGGCTTATGGTGGTACACAGTTTGTCTGTAGTATCTGGTAGCTCAAGACAACCACCTGGAATCTTCTGATATTTGTTCGAGTCAAGTAACTAAGTTCAGTGGCGATTCAGCCCTTCCCAGTAAAACAGCCTCCGAAAGGCTCATTTGGGATGTGAGGTGTCGTTGATGATTAGAAGTCACCACACATTCATTCGGGAATTTGATGATTAGAAGTCACCACATATTCATCTGGAACCTCTCATGGCCATAGAAAGTCATGGAGTTCACCTATGTGTGCTTCAGCAAAATTACGGTTCGGGACACCCTACCCGCGCTGCGGTTTATGACGATTGTTGACACTGATTTCTCTAGTGAATGACCTACGAGAATACTTCATTTTGAAGTTATATGACTATATTTCACTCACACAGAGTCTCTTATATCTTCGGGATCGAAAAAAATCTTCTGTCGAGTGTTCCCGGTGAAAATTATGGTTTCGGGCTAGACCGACGCCCCGGGGCCAACCTAGGAGCTCACACACCCAAAATAACTTTTCAGTCTGTCGAGCCCGAGTCCCCAAAGATCTAACACAAGATTTAAAACTTTGACACTCCTAGGCATTGAATAAATGGTGTGTCAAGGCCTCAAACAAGCAAAAAATTGCCACATTTCCAAGAGTTTGTCACCTAGGCGCTGATTGGACGACGTCAATGCCTCAATATGCCTTGTTTGGGGCTTGGCGCCAGGGTGAGCGACGCCTAAACGTCGGCCAGTTTCCAGGTGCGATTTCGAGCCAATTTTTTACGTCGTAAGATGTTGTATAGTCAGGGAACTTGAAAGATGGGTGGGTAATACTCCTTTGCTCTCATCTAGAAGGATCAAATGCCCCCTTTTGATTGACTGGCTTCATTCTTGCCTGTCGGAGGCTGTTGCTCGCCTCTCTCCTCCTTCTTCAGCTGCCATCAGGCCTTGTTGAAAAAGATCTTGGAGAGGACCTCTTGGAGGTTGTGGAGAGGCCATTGGAGAGGCCTCTTGAAGGGAAAACATTGTAGAGGGGGTTCTCTTCCCCTCCACCATCTTCTTCTTGCTCCTCCTCTTCCTCTTCCTTCTATTTTCTCCTAGCTCATCTTCTTCATCTCCGTCCACATTTTGTGAGTGTATGAGAGGGTTTTTTTTAGAAGAAGTTTGGGAGAAAGGCGCTACACTCCTATGCTAGATGAGAGCTTCATCCTTTCTTGGGGGAAGGTCGTCCGAAGATCACCTCATTCTCTCTAACCACTTACTAGCTGAAAGTTTTATACCTTTTGTGTGTTTCCTAGACATTTTCAAATTCAACAAATGCATACAAGTTTGAGTGGTAATAAATTCAGATAAAGCTCACAATCACCTCATATGATATGATAAAAAGTGAATCGTGTTGATCAAACAAGCACATTCCAATTAAATTTAAAAGCGCAGACCATACCGAGAAGTAACAAGAAGTACACTCCAAACAAAACAAAATACGTTTATCTCATTTTTTGATAAGAAGTCACTTACCTTCGCACATCACAACCAGCTTAGTCTATCAATCAAGTCATCAATCTTCTTCGCCAGAGCACATGGATTTTTAAATTATTTTCACATGATTGTAACATAAATTTTAAATTTTGTTTATGTATTAATATCTACGGATTAAGCTAACATACAATGAAGATACTACGATAAAATAAATGGAGGAGAATTGAGTGATATATATATATATATATATATATATATATATAAATTATCCAAAAAAATTTCATCAGCCCCTTGCAAGCTAAAAGCAATATCAGTTGGCAGTAGCTGGTTTAACGGCAAACCTTGATCTACCCGCACCATATGAAATTAACGGACATGATTGTTCCAGTTTTACCTCCTATCCACGATCGATGTCTGGCGAATAATTTCTTCGAAATTCTATCGGTTCGCGAACCCTAGCCAGAACGGAAGAACGGGAAGGGGGGTAAAGTGTATCGGGTCTTCCATCGGGATCTATGGGGTTTTTAGTAACAACTCTAATCTTCCTTGTCGCCGGCGTCATCGCCGCGCTCTTCCTCAGGCTCTGCTGCAATCAAGGCCCCTCCACCAATCTGTAATCCCTTTTTTTCCCTTTCGTCTTTGCATTTATCGTCATTAGATTTTGATTTATATTATAATTTTTTTTTTTATTTGTGAAACTTCGGGGAGTCGTAATGGATATTTACGCTGAGTAGTTTTGAAATATTTTGTGTTTTGCGATTAATTGGCTATGATGACGATCTCGGACAGTACTGCTGTTTCTACTGCTTCTGATCTTGTATAAAAATGTTGGAGATTGTTGTTGGTAGCCATGCCAGGTAGATTGTAGGAGCGGGTTGGGTGCAAGGGATTAGGGATGTATGGAAAGTTTGCATATTTGGCGTGCGTCTGGTTGAGTTTAGAGGATATGGTGAAAATGTTCTTGTAAGTAAATTATCATTTTTGTTGTCACAGTCGGTTTCATATTGAGATTTAGGGGTCTGCTTTGCACCAATAATATTTAGTAAATCTTGTAAGTTAAGTTTTTATAAATTCTGGAGATGTTAAGCCTGAAAATTCTTTGGCAAGTTAGATGCTCAAACTTGTTAAATCCTAATTTTTGTTTGGAAGCTATTTTTTAAGAATTTTCTTACAACGGTACGAGGAAAACAACTTATTGAACATGCAAATCAGTATTGAAGTAATGAATCAAACTGGTTATTTAGTTACCGATGCACCAGTGTGTGAAGCTTTTTATGCATGGTGTAGCAGCTATGTGCTATCTAGAGTGGCATTTGAAATATTAATTAACCCCTTCAGCTCAATTCTATGCAAATTTTATTATGATTTACCATAATGATATTGGCAAAATTCATTGTTTTTAATTGATTTTGTTAGGATTTAGATGTTGCAATTAGATAAATAAGTGTTGTGTCGGTTTATGATTCAAATAAATAATAAAAAACATTGAGCCGGTGCACCTATGGTAAGTTGAAGATTCACAGAGTATGTCAGCGATCGACATCCCTGCTACCTGCTAATATAAAGCGTAATGAAATGACAATTATAGCCAACTACCACTACTGTTTGTGTTATGTTTTTTTGTTATCAGGGGAAGTAGTAATTGTTTAATGATTTCTATAGATTCATCATTTTGTTTTTCTTAGGTTTGGTGGTTGTTTTGTTTCTTTTTCGTCTTAGCATGAATGGTGTTAGTGATTTCATTTTTATTTTATATTTGTCTTTTTTCTTTTAGGATAGAATATTTGAATATAGGTATTCTAAGAGGCAAATCAATGAAATTAACATATATTATGATTCATAGGAAGATAAATATCTTATGCATTCAAGAAATTAAATGAGTTGGAGAAAAGATTAAAACCTTATTTGGAATCACTTTTAGTTTTTTATTTTTGTTTTTATTTTAGCATGCTTTATTTTTGTTTTGTTTTCCGTTTTTAGAAAATGTATTTGATACTATTATGATTTATCGATTTTCAAACATAAAAAATATAAAACATGTTTGGTTGTTTATTTTCTATTTTCTTAAAAAAGAAAAAAAAAAACTATTCTTTTTAAAAAATTAGTTAAACATAATTGACATTCACAAATTTATTTAGACGACCTCGGATGACGAAACAGACTGCGCGTGAATGCTTGGAACATCATTTTTACCTACGGAGGACAGACATGTTGGGGTTTCCTGCATGAATTACTAATGCGCAAGACATATACTTAAAATAAAATAAAAAAAATATTAAAAAGGGTTTTAAAACCTAACTCACGCACGTAGCAGGCAACCCCCTTTTCATTTTAGTGATGTCCTAGCACCTCTTTTTTCACGCTGCTCACTCTCCCCTCTTGGCACAATGCTCCTCACCTCTGTAGCCTCGCTGACCTCCCCTCCGTCGTCGGATCTCCTTATCGTCGCCCACCCAAGCCTCCACTCGTGAGATTCTCAAAGCCTAGCCCCTCTCTTTTGTGAGAAACCGCTCCACCCTCTCTCGGTTCCCTCTCGCACCCAGAGCCCTTCGTCGTTTTTTACTCCTTGCTGGTGAGCGCCAAGCCCGTTGGAAACCCGGAGGGCCCATCACAACTCACATGGTTTTTGCCTCTCACCGTTAGAAAAAAATTATTTTTGAAACAGTTATAGACACGTTTTTTGTGTTTTGGGTGTTTTAAAAACATCAGTGTTTCTTTAAAAATAAAATTAAGAAATAAAACAAAAAAAATGTATAAACAAATATTTTTTTTCTGTTTGTTCCATTTTTTTGTTTTCAAATACAAAATAAAACATAAATGAAAATTTATCCCAAATAGCTCTAAGGAGATCGTTGAAATAAGTTTTAAACTTTAGTATTCAGGTAGGAGTCACATAAGAAATTATGTATGTGTAAACGTGGATAAGTGTTTTAAAGATAATGTTGTAAAAAATTCATAGAATTGGAAATTTAATTATAACCATAAAGTTTGTTGTTGGTAGTAATACTTTTAATGTTATAAGTGTTTATACTCCTCAAGTAGGGTTAAATATAAGTTAAAAAAAAAAATGGAATGACCTAGTAAATGTAATACAAATAATACCTCTTTAATAAAGATTTTTTTTGAAGGAGATTTAAATGGACATGTTATTAGAGTGGTGGGTAATTTTAGAAATATTTATGATTGAGATGATTTTAAAGTCATTAATGAAGAAGGCAAAACATATTAGATTTTGCTTTAGCTTATAATTTTATTATTGCTAATACTTTGTTTTAAAAAAGAGATGAGTATATTGTTAACTATAAGAATGGTTCTAATAAAATATAAATTGATTATTTTCTTATGAGAAAAATAAATCGTCAAGAATTTAAAGATTGCAAGGTTATTCCAATTGAAAATTTAAATACTCAACATCGATTATTAGTTATGGTTTTTAAGCTGAGTAGTTGAAAAATAAAAAAAAATACAGTTAAAAATTGTCATATAATTAGATAGAGTCACCTAAAAGACATAAATAAAATTATTTTTATGAGTAAACTTCAAGATTTTAAGATTTTGGATATTCTTGAAGAAACTAATTCTATGTGGAATGAAGTAGCAAACATTGTATACAAGTGACAAAAAATGGACTTGGAGAATAAAAAAAGAAAGTTTTTATAAATAAAAACAATTAGGGCTAGAATAATAATATGCAAGAAAAGTTTAAATGTAAAAACATAAAGAATTGAGAAAAAATATAAGGTGACGTGTAGAGAGTCCAAGAGAACTATTTGTGACACTAAGAATTATACTTTTAGTGATCTTTATAATAAATTAGATACTATATAGAATGAAAAATATATGTATAAATCAGTCAAAAAATAAATAAATAAAATATTTAGTTCAAGTAAAGTGAAGTAAAAGATGAAAATAAAAAGCGCTTTACTTAGATGAAAGCCTTCAACATTGGTGGGTAAGATATTTTGATAAAATTTTCAATGAAGTTTATGAAAATACGATCGACCTTACTAATTTTAATATCATTAATAATAATAAAGTTTGTTATTTTTATCGTCACATTAGTAAAAAAAAGTTGAAAAAGTTCTAAAGAAAATCAATGGTGGAAAATCAGTAGGAGTTGATGATATTACAATTGAAGTGTGAAATATTTAGAAGATTTGAGAGTTTTTTGACTTACTAATTTTTTAATATTATTTTAAAAGCTAAAAAAAGGTCTGAGAAACGGAGAAAAAGTATTTTGGTCTTCAATTTTTAAGAATAAAGGGGATGCACAAGAATGCTTAAATTATAGAAGAATCAGGTTAATTTGTCATACAGTAAAACTATGGGAGATAGTAATTGAACATAGGCTAAGATGTGATTCAAAGATTTCTCATAATCATCTTGGTTTAATGCCGGACAAGTCTACTATGGAAGCTCTAAGTTTATCGAGAGGTTTGATGGAAAAGTATAGAGAGAGTAAGAGGATCTATATTTTATTTTTATTGATTTAGAAAAAAAATTGCGATAAAGTTCTAAGAGAAGTTTCTTGGAGAGTGCTAGAAAAAAAGTATTGATATGACTTATGTTCAAGTCATTACATATATGTATACTAGATCTGTCACTTGTGTTCGAATAGAAGGAGAATTGACCAAGTATTATCCCATTTCAGCTGATTTATATCAAGGATCAGCTTCAAGCCCATATCTTTTTTGCTTTAGTTATGGATGCTCTTGTTGGACATTTACAGGATGATGTACCTTGGTGTATACTTTTCGCTGATGATATCCTTCTTGTGGATAAGAAAGCGAAAGTGTTCAAGAAAAACTTGAATTATGGAGGTTTAGATTAGAGTCTAAAGGCCTTCATCTGGCCTCCACTTGAGTAGATCTAAAATTGAATACATAGAATGTAATTTAGTGGTAGATCTAGAGGCAAAATGATAACTAAGGGCGATCAAATCATTAAACGGTGTGAACATTTTAGATATTTTAGGTCTATTTTTCAATGTTATAGTGACATAGATGGAGATGTTATTAGTAGAATTCAAGTTTGTTGGATGTAGCAGAGGACTGCATTGAGAGTATTGTGTGATAAAAAGTACTGCTTAGAGTTAAAGGTAAATTTTATAAGATGGTGTTGAGACCTACGATGATTTATTGCATAGAATGTTGGTTTTTCAAAGAGAAGCATAAGGTTAAGTGCTGCTGAGATGAGAATGCTTAGGTGGATGAGTGGCTTGACACTTTGAGACTACTTGTGAAACGAGTGTATTCGTGAAACGGTTGGTGTAGCTTAAGTTTAGACAAGATTAGATAGAGTCGTCTTAGATGGTTTGGTCACTTTAAACGTCGAACATCTGATGAATGGTTAGGAGAGTAGATGTTTTAGATTCCAATTTATGTTAAGAAAGATAGAGGTAGACCTAAGAAGACTCGAGCATATTGTATAAAGAATAATCTCAATTTATTAAAATTAAATGAAAATATGACACTAAATAGGAAAAAATGGAGAAAAATGATTCATGTAGCTGACCCCACTTAGTGGGATAAAAGCTTGTTGTTGTTGTTGCCTTTTCTTTCCCTTATAACTCTTATTTATTGCATTCATTTTTACTTTTCCCCTCTTTCCTCCCCCTCCCCGAGCTAGTCTAAATTGGAATAAACGAGGAGGAATATTGGAGAGTGATGGAAAGAATGGGTGAGAGGAAGAATAAGAAGATAAAAATTGGAGTCTTTATTGAAAATCACATCAAATTTAACCTCCTTTTTTCATGCAGTTAAGGGGCCTATGATCACTTTTGGTTTATGCTTTTTATTTTTTTTAATTTCATTTTGTTTATGTTTTCATTAAAAAAACATGTTTGGAATGATATCACATGTTTGGTTGTTCTTAAAAATGCTTAAAATAAAATTTAAATATTACGCTAATTTGTTTTAAAAAAAAAAGATAAAAATATGCAAAAACACACCAACAAAAATATTTTTAAAATAAAAAAAAAACAAAAGTGATCCCAGACAAGCTAGCATTGATGGCACATTTCCATTTATTAATGGCTTATTTGAGATCACATTTTTTTTTTTTGCCTTAATTTTAAAAAAATCTCTGTTTAGTACCTTTTTTTTGTATGTTTTATTTTTTGTTTTAAAAACAAATTAGCTCTTTTTTTAAAAAAAAACAAATTTGTATATTTTTAAAAACATTCCAAGGAACTAAATGTTGTTTTGAGTATTTTGAAAAATATGCACATTTAGTTAAATAGCCAAACATGTATCGTTTCAAATAAAAAAATAAACAAGACAAAATAAATGTAATATATATATATATATATAAGTGGCCAATAAGTTATGAAATTAGTTACGCCACTCTAGCTTTGTTATTTCTTTTCATATTCGAGTTTAGTGCAACTTAAAGTGCCTTCCTTGGTCAACGGAGAATAGAATCTTCTGAAAGTGCTTTTCTTGTTTATTTTATTCTGACATATCAACAATCATATACTTGTATTTTTGTTGGTGGATATGATTTTTTTTATGCATGTGCTTTGCAGTTTATTTATTTTTTCATTAACTTTGTTTAATTGACAATCTTCAAATTTCTCGATTAACTTGAGGTTGGAGACATATAGCTATAACATATGTTTATTTTAGTTTAAAGCAGCTAGTTGTATATATGTAATTGTTTTTGTTTTTTTTAATTTTTCTTAATGCAGGTTGCATTTTACTTTGGTAATTACGGCTACAATTTGCTGTTGGATGATGTAAGTTCTCACAATGGCCATTATTTATAAATTTTTTTTATATAATCTCAGCAGTTTTGTTCTCTCTAAATTCATCTTAATGGTATCTGCCTCTGTTTCTGTGAGAACATGCATTTCATCTGTCTGATATAGTTTTAAAATCATTTTACCTTAAATAATGAGTAGCCAATTCTGTTTAATTTCAAAAAAGTAAAAGTGGATACTTGCTGAGCATAAATGATGCATCAAACCATATTAAGGCTATTTTGGGTTGGGTAATATCAAATGTTCTGAAGCAATTGAATGATGGAAGCATCATGTAAATTTCAAACTAATTTGATTGTTTAAAATGATGATTTATAGATTTAGTTAAGAAATATTTTAAGTGCTCTTTTAAAACTTGAGTTTTTGAACAGTTCAAATGAGTACAGGCTTCTTTGGTTGTTAATTATATTTAAATGATAGCTTTCACTTCACCACAGTTAACTTACTTTCAATCAGATTAAAAGTTGCATAGCTCTCTGTATAGCCCATTATTATGTTAGTTAGCTGTAGAGGAACTCAGCCTGTAAATTATCTATCCCTTATTTTCTATTACCTTTTTTCTTTTTATTATATTCCTTCTATTTTCAGATTTTGTTTTCTTATTTTGATTCTCTAACTAGAAATATTTGGGCACTAAGCACTTTATGTAAATTTGATATTTAAGATTATTTTGATCCGCCCTACCTTGCATTGCAATTGGATCAATGATAATTGATAAATCTTTGCAAGAAATTGATCCACTGAGAAATGCTCTTCTTGCACAAGTGAAACAGTTATTTTGGTCTTTTAAAAGGGCATTTACATGAAGAGCACATAATTCTTTTGTTTTTACATATTTCAGCTTAAACTTTAATATTCAATCACATGACACTTAGATCTTTAACATCACATAAAAAATCGGACTATTACCTCTTTTTTAAATTGAAATGCACCTTTTCATGCATAGGATTAAAGCAATGAAGTGCCATGTATGTAAATATGAAAGCTTAGTTGTGAGATATGTAAATACATAAGAATGGTGTGCTACACATGTAAATTTCTCTTTTTAAAAATATAAAGGAAATGTTGTAAATCTCTAAAGGCACGATGTTCCTGAAGGATAGGTTGTATGTGATTCCTCCCCTAACTAATTTAAACTGTGCTTATGATAGATGAATTTTTCTTGGCAACAGGTGCTCATTTAATTATGGAAAAATTTTTGTGAATTTCTCGTGGATTTATTAATAAATTTTCTTTCAAAAAGATCATGCTACAGTTTGCAGTTACTTTTCACTTAAATCTTCATTCCATTGAAAGACTTGCTTTGGTATGATGGATATTTGAATAATTACGTTCTTTCTAGAGGAGTTATGAAACCTCATCTTCTTATCTTCTTTTTTTTTTAAACTCGGCTCATTTTAATTATTCTTGGTTGAAATCCAAATAAGCGGATTTTATGTTTTTTAGACTTAATTCTTGTACTTGCATGAACATCAGGTCAATGCGTCTACAACTAAGGGAATTAACAACAATTCCACTCATTCATGAGGGTCAATTAAGAGCTAAAGGATTTACTAAAAATTTTGTCATTTTTTTTAGAGAGGCAGTGCCAGAGGAATAGATATTCAAAGGAAGGAGAGGGAACGAGCGGGGGGAGGGGGGTAGAGAGTGGTGGTGAGTAGAAGCTGAAGGAGAGAGTGGGCAGATACATGAAATATGTGGATGAAATTTTGGCAGAGCGAAGGAAAGAGAAATTTGTGTATCAATTAACCGATGACTTCAATAAATATTCACAATCTTTAAGGTCTTATTTATAGAAAAACTTGTTAGAATAACTGCAAAAATATTGATAAATAAATAATTTGATCAATGAACAAATTAAATGAACTGAAAACAATTTAAACAATTCAAAAGCAAAAAAAAAAGGAGCATAATTGAAATGTTTCTAATTCACAGACTAAAAATTTTAACCAGTCTTATATTTGGTGTCACTCATATTTTGTGATTTGGTGGCCCCTATCAGGTTCACGAGAATAATAGGACATTTCAAAAAAAAAAAAAAAGCCAATAACCACTCCTGAAGAATAATGTGACATTTCAAAAAAAAATTTAAAATAATAAAGTCTAAATATTGTAAACTCAATCAACAATTTCAATAACTCCATGAAATCTCCAGCCAGCATGAATTTATAGCTATGAACAACACTTTTTAGTAGTTTTAATCTTTTGTTGGTTGATTTCTCATCATTTGGAAGAGATCAAATTATCAGAGAATATGGATTGGGGCATGAGAAAATGCACTTTTTAACATTAATTTAGAACTGTTTAGATTGAAATGTTTCTTAGATAAAGTACAAATATTTGAGATTATCTGTTGTGGAAATATTATAATTGAGGGTGTTTACAAAATAGATAACTAATATTTTACTAATAATTGCTCTAAAAACTTTATTCATGAGTTACATAAATGTATTAAGGGTTTGGAAATACCATGTGACATTATTACCGTTCATATCGACCATCATATAATTTAAAAGTTGCCTTTTCACACAATTTTATGAAAAAGTTGGATTTGCTGGTAACCGGTTATAATATAAAGTTTTTAGATGAGTAAGGATCCTGTGATCATACATAACATATCCTCCGAGCAAGGATTGTAATCAGTAGCACTTTTATTTTAAATGAAGTTGTTAACAAAAAAAAGGGCTAAAAATTTTCTAATAATTGATTTAAAATTGAAGTAATGATTTACATGAAGTATTACACTTGTTGTAAAGACTAAATGATTATTAATATTCATACAAATTATTAGGTGTTTTAAGTTATGTTTCCCTCATTTCAATAATGGATTTAGATTTGCATATAAGTTGTTTTGTTTTCTTGGGGAATGAGGATCCTATGATCATATTTAGCATATCATCCAAATGTAAAATCTAGAACCCATATTTAATTGTGGTGTTGTTGATAGTTCTGCCATCAGTTCACATTCTCGAATATGCATTCTTTTTTTAAGGTCAGTAGTCCAAATACAAAAGATGTACTTTGACTTGTGTATTTAACCTATTGTTGCGAGTCCGTCACTTTGTTTTTTCAATTAAATATATTTTGTTAGGTTCATCGTATTGCGAAGAAGATTTATTAATTTAAATAAAGATTAATTGTATGTCAAACTTCATGCATTGAGGTTAACTCTTCAAGGACTTTAATTGATTTTAGATATTGAGGCTCTGCCTAGCTCTTAGTAGCTTCAATAGGATCATCCTATTGCAAAGAAGATTTATTAATTTAAATAAAGATTAATTGTATGTCAAACTTCATGCGTTGGGTTAACTCTTCAAGGACTTCCATTGGTTTTAGATATTGAGGCATGCTAAGCGTTTAGTAGCTACAATAGGTATTTGTTATTCAATGAACTTAGTGGAGTTTTGTTTGGTGGTTAAAAACTTGACAAAACTTGGTTCTCGACCATTTTTACAATTTTCCTTTATGTTAGGATTCTCAATCAACCTTTCCCCATATCTTTAGACACCTGTTGATGTAAAACCACCATGGTAAGATTTGTGTCAAAATCTTCTAGCTGTATTAAGAGAGTCATTAAGTGTTTTATGTGTAATAATTTCACCTACGTACATTATAGGTTTGATGGATGAGTTTTTTCCCAACATAAAACTACACAAAACAATTAAATTAGATCGCACAAAGCTTCCAAATAATTTATGGTATTCTACAAAGTACATTTGAATGAGTAGTTTTTCATATATTTGAGATTAGCTAACTAAGAAAACAGTGTCAAATTCTTAGACAATAGTGAAAGATGCACACAAAGGGAGGGAGAATCTCCTTGAATTTATACTCGATGTTGTCAGTTCTCGTATGAGAATAGAATTTGTTACTATTTTGAGGCAAGTCTTCACAAAGCGTGCTTTTTTTCAGAAAATTAAAATCTGAGTCCTTTTTAGCTGGCAATCCACAATGCATGTGAGTATCCCTTGGGATTTTTTTTCTTATTTTTTTTTTGAAAATTTGAGAATTAATCAAAAGCTTCTAGCCTCTCTTTTTTATTTTTTTGTCTTTCATAAAAGATCACAACAATGTTTCCCTCCAAGTTTGGCTTTATTTTTTACCTCATGTGCGAGTTTCTCTCTTTTTCTTGCCAGTTTGGCAAAGGTTGGCAAGACGAGCACTGAGGTGATTCCTTTAGCGGTTGAACATTCCTTTGTTCTTTCCCTTCTTTTTTTTCCTTCTATAACTAGCTGTGGTGCTCTTGGGTTATTGCTTCATCTTCTTGGACTGCGGGTCTTGTTCATATTGTTGTTGGTGCATAATTGCTTATAGTGTTATTGTTACCTTTGTCCGTACAAGCAGAGTTCCATGATTCCTATTCATCACAAACTACTACGGAGATGTCATTTCAAACTATTTTTTCTGTCATCCTTGAAGAAAGTTATTGCTTCCTCTTGAGAAGCCCACGTGTTATTATTTTCTAAAATAAATGACAAATATCTAAAAATATCACATTTCACGGAGCTCCATCAATGTAAATCTTAAAAATAAAAAAATTGACTTTGATACTCCATGCATAATGAACATATAATTTTTAGTCCATAACAAATTATGACGGCTTAGGTGATGAATGATAGACAATCATAATCTTTTGATCTAAGGAATAGAGGCAGAGTTCATTATTTGAATCAATAATGTCTTTATCAACTGGTTTTTGGTCATTAGATTGAGATTGATGACCTCATCTCAACTAGTTGTCTATGGCCATTAGAACAATTTCTAGATTTGCTTGTTGCACCCTTGGATGTTCTATGATAGTGTAACCTTTTTTAGTAGTAAGAATTTGTCTTCTTTATGAGTGACTTCCTTTTAAGTTGTAATATCCGATAATACAAGTTTGCATGTCCTTTCAGTTTAAAGTGACGAAAATAAGTTTTTTTATATGGAATAATTACGTGCATAGCAGTTGAAATTTTGCTATTTACAAAACTAGC